TGAAAACCCCTGATCTAGTCCAACACCCTTCAAAGAAGGACCACTCCCAACTAAATCATCCCAGCCAAGGATCTGTCTACCCAGGAGTTATAAACCTCTAAGGATGGAGATTCCACAACCTCTCTGGGTAGCCTGTTCCTGTGCTTTATTATACTTCTGGTGAGAAAGTTTTTCCTAGTAGCTAACCTGAACTCCCTTGCTGCAATTTGAGACCATTGCTTCTTGTTCTGTTATCTGCTATTTGACAATACTGAGAAGTCTAGCTCCATTTTCTTTGCAACCACTCTTCAAGTAATTGAAGGCTGTTATTAAATCCCCTCTCAGTCTTCTCTTCTCTAGACTAAATAAGCCCAGTTCCTTCAGCCTCTCCTCTGAAATCATGTGCCCCAGCTCCCTCACCATTTTTGTTGCCCTCCACTGGACTCTCTCCAATTTGTCCCCATCCTTTCTGTAATGGAGGGCCCAAAACTGGATACTGGACTGCAGATGTGGCCTCACCAGTGCTGAATAGAGAGGAAGAATCACTTCCCTCGATCTGCTGGCAACACTCATACTAATTCAGCCCAGTATGCTGTTAGCCTTTTTCACAACAAGGGCACACTGCTGGTTCATATTTAGTCTACTGTCCACTGTAACTCCCAGGTCCTTTTCTGTAGAGCTGCTACTTAGCCAGGCAGTTCCCAGCCTGTATCAGTACACAGAATTGTTCCGTCCTAAGTGGAGGACTTAGTACTTAACTTCACAAGATTTCTTTTTGGTCCTATACTCCAATTTGTCTAGGCATCCCTGAATGCTAGACCAACCCTCCACCAAATCTAAAACTTCCCCCAGTTTGGTGTCACCTGCAAACTTGTTGAGATGCAAACTCCATGTCATCTTCCAGATGATTCATAGATTCATAGATGTTAGGGTCGGACGGGACCTCAATAGGTCATCGAGTCCAACCCCCTGCATAGGCAGGAAAGAATGCTGGGTTTAGATGACCCCAGCTAGATGCCCATCTAACCTCCTCTTGAAGACCCCCAG